CTGCCTGTCTGCAGCGGGCTGATTTGGCATCTTCTGCGCAGCTCGAGACCTCCGTAGGGCGTGCGCAGACCTGCCTGTCTTATCTCCCACATTTTAAAAGAATCATTTTGCCAGTTGTACGATTCTTGGTTGGCAGTTGAACATACTGACACCTGCCTTCTGGCCTCCAGCATTTTTGATGGGAAGTTGTTGCAGGTAATTGATGACGACTCTTATGTTGAGTTGCTTCTCTCCTGATGCTTTCTCCTGAGTGTGTGTGTGTGTGTGTGTGTGTGTGTGTGTGAGAGAGAGAGAGAGAGAGAGAGAGAGAGAGAGAGAGAGAGAGAGGGATATTGATTTAGAAGTTTGCTTATTATGTGTCATCTGGATCTCTTTGAGGTCATCTTACTTGAGGTTCATGGTGTACACTGAATGTTTATATTCCTCCATTTCAACAAATTTGGGAAGTTTTTGGCTGTTTTTTCTTCGGGTTCCTTTGTTCCCCTTTACTCTGTCCTGTTTTGGGACTCTCTCATATGTTTGATTGATGATATCTCATGGGTGCATTAGGCTCTTTTACTTTTCTCTAGTACATTTACTTTCTATTCTTTAGGCCTTATTTTCACTGCTCTGTTTTCAAGTTCACTGATTCCCTGCTTGCTCAAATCTGCTATGGGCTCCTGTTAGTGGATTTTTCTTTGAAGTTACTGCACTTTGTAGCTATAAAATATTTTTGGTTCTTTGTAGAATTTTATCTTTATTGGTAATTTTGTTCATACAGTATTCTCTTGACTTTCCACACATCTTCCTTTAGTTCTTTGAGCATTATGAAGACTGTTGTCTGTCGAGCATATCAGCTATCAGGTCTCTTTCAGAAAGCTTTTTTTGATTCATTTACTTCCTTTGAACAAGGCTTTCCAGTTTTTAAAATAAGCTTTGTGATTTATTATTGGTATTTGATAAATGAACATTTTAATCTAATAATGTGATTGTGGAAGCTAGATTTTCCTCTCCTCCACAGTTCACTTTTTTGTTTACTGTTTTTGTTCATTTTTTATTTTTTGTAGTACTGGGCATTGCTCTTGGGTCTTACACATTCTAGGCAAACATTCTGCCAGCGAACTATATCCCCAGCCCATCTCATTTTTTTATTTTGAGACTTAAAATAAAACTGCCCAGACTCGCTTTGAACTTGCAACCCTCCTTTGTGCCCTGGCCTCCGGAGTATCTGGGATTATGGGCCTGTGCTACCACTCCTGCCTACCCCCCATCTTGTAGGTGGTATCTATACCAGGGATCCGCCCAAGGTGTAAATCTTTTTTCACAGGTCATTTCTGAGTCTGTACCTTTCCCTGGGTATGTACTTCACTTTCTGATATACCATGTGTATGCACTTGCTTTTGAGTGTTCACGCAGTCTTTCACATCTGCCTTCCATAAGGGGAAAGAAAAATGAGAGGGTTGGGGAGGGGAAATGGCTTTAGCCCTTAAATTCTTGGAGGTTACATCAGCTAGAACAGATGGGCTTGGGACAATGGGGAGAGATGCAGCAACAACAACCTCCACCCACCTCTGTGATCAGAAGCAGTAATGTTCAGTAGTCGTGGTCTCCCGGGTAGGGGTCAGCATCCTTTTTGCCTCCCCTGGCTTCTATAATGTGTGTGAAGGCTGCTCCAGGAACACATGCACAGCTGCTGCACAGGGCTGAGTGTGGGCAGTGGGGGCTGCTAGTGTGTGACGAGCTGAGAGCAATAAGAATTAGCCACAGCATTCCTGTCCAACCCTCCCCCTAGAGGTTGCAAGCTGTTAATAGACACCAGACTTCCAAAATAGTTACATTAGACAGATTCTGCCAGTCCACTGCTATCCAGGTGGGGAGACAGATTCCCCTGCTTCTCACTCTGTCTTCTTTCCAGAATCTTCTCCTTCCCATGTGCTCTTGCATATTGTTTACCTTTTCACCTAAATCTCAGAATCTGTCATAATTTACATTCTCTTACTATTTTTATATATGGTTCATTTCTAGGTATACTTTATTTTACTGTTTCCTCTCATGACTTGGGTCATATTCTTTGCACATTTTGTAATTTTTTTGTACAAATATGTTGTATAAAAGATAGTTGAGACTCAAATACATGACATTTATCTCTGGGAAAGGGATTATCCTTTTCCCAGTGTTCAGATTAACAGATTCTTGATCTGGCATCTCTGCCAATCAGACAGGCTATGCATGGGTCTTCTGTCTCATGAAAGTCTCATCACTTTCTGAAAACTGATCTTCAGAGAAATCAAGCTGATCTGTACTGGGTAGTGATCTGTTGTTTGTGGCACCCTTAGTTTGAGTGAGTTCATCACCACATTAAGATATTTTGAGGATTGGGTCTAGAAGTTTCTTTAATGGGGAATATTTAAGACTGGCGAGGTGCTGAAGACATCTTTGTGCTCATTGTGAAACCAGTCTTCTGCCTGAGGGATGCATGTCCCCCTTTACTCTGTGCAGAGTGGTTCTTCTCCATGCTCTCCACTTCCTTCCTTATCTGTACTGTCTTATCTGTACTGTACTGTGTCGCCTGTGAAGGCCTACAATATCTCCCTGGGTTTTTGTTTCCCCCCCCCCCCAGCTTTCTGTGCCTCCTCCTGTACTCAGCTGTTGCATGTCTTGAGCACCTCAAGGGTGATGTCTCAGTTCTTCTGTCCTGGTCCCAGTCTATTGCAGTGAGCTGCTGCTGTGGCTTGGGGGAGCACCCTACTCTTTAGAGGTTCCCTTCTTCCTACTCTGCTCTTCCCTGGTGTTTGATGTACTGACCTTGGTGAATCCCATGGGATTTTGTCAATATATACCTAGCTACAGGTGTACCTTATAATAGCACTTTGCAATGTTAATTTGCATGAAGTTAAGGTTTGGTTGGTTTCTTCTCCTGTCTCAGGCAGATTGCTCATCCTTTGATATCTCTGCCCACATCAGGCCTCATGCATTAGTCTTTTCTGTCTCAAGAAAGTCTTGTCACTTTCTGAAACTTACATGTATAGGTTTCTTTTTACTCTTAATTATCTGATTTTTAAGTTCTGATTTTGTAGTAAATGCAGTTTATTTTGGTTAGTGTGAAAATGACTGTTATTCTGTGAATCACGTCTACTTAATACCTGAAAGCTTAAAAAAAAAATCCACTGACATTATTCCCCTAACTATAGAATGTATTTTCATCAACTTTATTTTTCTTTTTGTATTAACTACAGTGGTATGTTGTATTTACAGTATTGTTTACTGGGTGCCAGACACTTTGGTCAGTATTTTCTATGTACCATCATATTCAGTACCCATAAACTTGAGAACAGGTACAATTATATCATTTCCATGTTTTTGTTTGAGAAACTAAATAGGTAGGACAGTATTACATGGCCAGTTATTGGTACTTCTGAACTTAGGGTTGCCCCTCTTTGGAATAGACTTTGCAAGTTTGAATTAAAAGATGGGACAGGTATGTAACAGAAGTGAGTAAAGCAAATTGGGTATACAAAAAGTAACAATCCAAGCAGCATGATGAATGAGACAATTAATAATCAGCCAGGTGCTGGCACAAAATAAAGAGTAATCCATTCTGTTGGAGAGTATATACCTCATTTAAAGGTGATGATCACCCATTCAAAACATGGGCAACTGGAATGAATATGCACATCTCAGGAGAAGAGGTAAAAATGGCCAATATGTATGTGAAACAATGCTTAGCATCTCTGGCCATTAGAGAAATGCAAATTAAAACAACACTGGGATTACACCTTACCCCAGTAACAATGGCCATCAGCAAAAATTCAAATAAAAACTACTAGCTACGAGTGAGGCTGTTAGGAAAAAGGCGCCCTTCTACACTGTTGGTGGGAATGTGAACTAGTGCAACCACTATGGAAGCCAGTGTGGAGATTCCTCAAAAAACTAAAAATAGAAATTCTGTTTGACCCAGTTATTCTCCTTCTAATTATCTTTCTGCAAGAGTTAGATACATCATAGTACAGTGATAACATGCATAACCATGTTTACAGCAGCATAAGCTCGTTATCGCTAAATCTTGGAAGCAGCCTATATGGCCATCAACAGATGAATGGATAAAGAAAATGTGGTGTTTATTCACAGTACTGCTCTGCCATAAAGAAGGATAAACTTGAGTCACTTATAGGAAAATGGATGTACTTTGAAACCAAAATGTTAAATAAAATACATCAGACTCACAGGGTTAAAAATTGCAGCATTTCTCTTATGTGAGAAACCAAAAAATATAAATAAAGAATAAAATAAAAGATAATAGAAAATAGGGAGAAAGGTGTTTTTCAAAAAGGAGGGAGATGAGATGGAGGGAGGAGTTAGGAGGGAAAGGGAAGGAGAAGTAAAAAGAATTAATATGTGTTATGTACTTGTAACACTGGGGAATATCATTATGTACTGCAAACATATACCAATAAAAATAAAAAATTTTTACAAGATGATGGTCACTAATCAGCTATTGTTGCCAATTTCCCAATTTCCTGATATTTTAATTGAAGGCAAAAATCTGCTTTTCATATGAAGCCTCTAACCTCTCACACCTTGGCTGCTCATTTAAATACAAGTTGAATAAAATCCAGTGAGCAGGTCCACATAGAGAGTCTGAAGTTAGACGTGTTGCCCGTGCTCTGGGAAGCCTGTGATAGAGCCTGAGCCCCTTTGAGCTGTTAAGTCGCATTATCCTTCAGTGCCTGCTCTTAGTGTATGTATACGAGTTAAGCAAAGACCTGCTTTTGAGTGTGTTTTACTTACTGCTGAAACACAGTTGTGCCGAGTTAGATATGAGGTACAAAGACAATTCATAGGACTGTGTTGTTTTATCAGAAGTCCTGAATTCCTCAATTATCTGCTTTATGAGATAGAATTCTAAAGAGGCACGTCTTACTTTTGGTTGATGTGAGGGTCAACCAAAAGTGTGTTTGGTTTATTATTGTTCTTAATCATGTCTTTATCTCCCTCTCTTTCCCTTTTCTTCTGTGACATAGCTTTCACTTTCTGAAGAACAGAATGAAGTAATGAAAAATGGCTGCGAATCTAAAGAGCTGGTCTACCTCGTGCAGATTGCCTGTCAGGTAATTGTGTGGATCTGTCCTTCACTTCATATAGAGTTAGTAAGAATTATTTTGAGCAATTATTAAATTTCTTACTATATTGTGCTTCTCATATTGCCTAAAGGAGTATAATTCACAGATAGTTACTTACATTGAAGCCAAATTGGGCAATGAAAGACTATTGTAAAAAAATATAAAGCTGGGTGTGATGACACATGGCAATAATTTCAGCATTGTGAGAGGCTGAGGCAGGAGGATGGAAGGTTTGAGCCCAGCCTCTTACTGCCTTGGAACCAACCATGCAAGGACTAAAACTTCTAAAATGTGAGCCAAAATAAACCTCTTCTGTGTACTAAGTGTTGGATGTTGGGTATTTTGTCCCAGGAACTTACCAAGACCTTGTCTTAAAGTGTGTGGGGGGTATAGTATTGGAGGGATGTAGCTCAGTGTGATGTGAAGGCCCTGGGTTCAATGCACAGTACCACAAAAACAAACAAACCAAAAAACAGTGGTAGTTATGGTGACCCAGATGCTGTTTTATTCTTCCTCTCAATCATATTGACATTTCTACACATACTCAAGAGTGAAGTAATCTGTTTTGGAGTCAGTTTTTATAGAAATTTATTATGCATCCATAAGTGAAAATCCTTCGTACAGAGGTCAAAGAAAGATAGCATTTATTGATCATTAGGTGAACTTGATCATGTGTCAGAATTGGAGAGTGGAGCAGCTGTCTCTGCCCCAGATGCTTGTCTCTACTGACCAGAACAGGGAGCTCCTCTGTGGTGGAACAATAGGATGCTGTATGGTTTTGAAGCTTGCTATTTCTTGACTCTCACATTAGAACTGCCTACCCCTTCCCCATACCAGGTATTGAACCCAGGGCCTTTCCGGTGAGCTCCATCCCCAGTGCTTTTTTTATTTTGTATTTTGAGATAGTGTCTGGGCTCAAACTTGGATCCTCCTGCCTTGCCTCCTAGAGTGCTGGGGTTACAGGTGTCTGCCATCATGCCTGGCTAGATTAGAAATTTTTTAGGATAATTACTATGACTTGCTCATAATGAGATTTAAAATATATCATTTGCTACAACAATTATTTCCTTCATCTAGTAAGCACTGAGTGGAGTTCTTTTATTCATTTATTTTACATGCACTGAGCCTTCTGCCTATTAGTGAGCTTGACACTGCAAAGGAAGTATTTCAGACAAAGCTTTCTTCTATACAAAGTTTTTAGCTTTCTTTCAAAGAGAGTACAGGGCATTTATGTTTTTTGTCAAAACATTAATTCTCTTTCTGAAGTTAATAGTATAAAAAAATCTGATGGTTATATAATATGGGAAATATTTAAATTCTTGGTTTTGGTGATTGTAAGGAAAGCCTTCCAGAACTAAGTGATTCTATTTTTAGGTATCAGAACATGAGATTGGAAGTTGAATTTAGCTTGCATATAAAGAAGATAGCCAAAGTCACTTATTGTTCATGTGTTTTGCCTGTCATCTCAGTTTGAGGAAATAATCATGTCTCAGTCACTAAGTTCCTGTCATATTTCATAAAATGATTCTATTTGGTGAATTAATTTTTTATTGTAAGATTTAATAACAAGCAAGACTCACAAATTTGCATTTTATGAATTTTCTCTTTTAGGCTATAGAAGCAACAATATTGATACTGTAAACTCAAAAAGGTTAGGTACCTCCATCTCTCTTACTCTTTTCTTTAGTGGCTAGGTTACAGGGAGATAGATGATACAATTGATACTGGGTCCCTGGGTCCAAGATAATACAGTTACATGGGTAACCATTTGTTACACAAGTGTTCATTGCAATGTGAATGTGCTTCTTTACTCCTTATACATCCATGCATACACACCTGTTTGATCTTGATGATCTGTGTAGCTTAAAGCGGGAAATTGAATTTTCAAATTGGTTAGGCAGAATGTGCATGGCTAAGACTGGGTGAATGGTGAGACCCGGGAAAAGAGAAGGACAGAAACAAAAGTCATAGGACAGTCTGCCTCAGAAAGTAGCAAGAACAATGGATAAGCCCTTATTGACTAGAAGTGTGGTTCTATTAAGAGAAAGTAAGCATCAGTGATGTCTTAATTACTTTCCTCATTACTAGGACAAAATACCAAAACTTACAGGAGAAGAGGTTCATTTTGGCTCATATTTTAGAAGTTTTTAGTGCTTTCATGGTTGCCTCCAAGGCAGAATGATATGGTAGAAGGGCCTGATCAGAGGAAAACTGCTCATCTCATAGTGGACAGGAAGCAGAGAAAGAAGAGTGGAGCCAGGGAAAGAGAAAAACCTTTCGAATTCATGCCTCCCGTGATACCCACCCTCCCAACCAGGCCCTCCTCCCTAACAGCAAGCCAGTTATAACACTCCCATATTCCAATCATCTTCCACCTCCTGTCATGAGTACATGAGGCTTTAGGGGACAGTCAGATGAAAACCATAACAAGTGGGCCGGGGATTTAGCTCAGTGGTGCCAGTGTCTGCCTCACAAGCGCAAGGTCCCAAGTTCTATCCCCGGTACCAAAAAAAAAAAAACCAAAAACCATAACAAGTGAGTTGATTTTTATGTGAAAATATCAAATCCTTTGCTGATAAACTATTAGTAACAGATGAATAGAAATCTTATCTTTATATTGTATGATTATAGGAATTTATTAATCCCATTACAACCTAAATATAGTGTGATCAAAAAATACAGTGAATGTTTATAAATACTTAATACAGTAAAAGATGTTGCCATTAATCCCTTTAGCAATATTCCCCATTGCTTTGAACCCACTTATCCTATCGTTTTTGCAACTTTCTGAAGCAGTTCTTCACGTCTTTCTCCTTGAGTATCTTTAGTTGCACTCTTGTGGCTCCCTCAATGTCTTGAATACATGCAAAATTTTTACCTTTCATGGTCATCTTGACTTTGGGGAAAAGCCAGAAATTACACTGTGGAAGATCTGGTGAATAAGGTGGAAGAAGACACACCCATAATGTTTTTACAAGCCTGCCTTTCTTTTGGATGGTCCCTGGGCAGCAGCATTCACCAAATTTTGACTATACTTCATGAAGACACCCATGAAAGACTTCCAGAATTGCCTGAGAAAGTGGCAAGAACAATGGAATAAGTGTGTTTCAAGAGTACTTTGAAGGGGTTAATGGCAGTGTGTCTTTTATTTTAATAATTTCTAAAATTTAAACATACCACGTTTTTTGTCAGCTCTCGTATTTTAGCATTTCTGTCATTAATTTTCATATGCTCTGAAAATATATTTTTATTCTCATGAGCAAAAGATAATGTCAAAAAAATCTATACTGTTTTCTTCAAAAGGCAGACAGATGTTTGGGACTGTACATTAGGATGCTTAGCTGTTCCTTAATTGCACTTTCCTGTATAGGTGACCTAGATGGTAGATAAGTTTGCTGGTTATAAATGTCTTGTCAAGCTGTTTAAAACATGTAAAATCACTTGGTAGACAATTTATTATATCGAAGTAGTAATTTTACCACACTGTAATGATGCGGTTGGTCCTTTTCTCTGCCCACTGTAAGTAATCATTGAAGCATCCCCAAGGCTTCCCTTTGTATTTTTGCCATGTGTGTCAGCCATAAACTATATTAAACTAGAATCACTTTTTATAACTATGAGAGACTCATAATTACACCCTCTAATTTTGCAAGTGAGGAAACCAAGGTCAAAAGTACTCAAGCGGCTGTTCTAAACTGTGGAATCTAGCTACTGAGAACTAGTTTCCTGATTGCCGGCTTTTTCTATATCTCCTTGACATTTTCAGGCTAAGAGAGATTTCAGAAATTGCTTAGACTTCAGGTAAGGCAAGATCACTGTTACACGCTGATGTAATGTGTCTGTTGAAGAAGCTATTTATTCACATATATCTGTGCTAACTTCTCATTTTAATAATATACACTTTAATATTCTTTTATTTTAACTGAAACTCTTGATCCTTCATGTTACCCCTCTCCCTCTTGTTCTATTATCTTAGAAAGTGACATTAAATGGCACAGTTCTTTTTCCTTCCTGCAGATTAAGTGACATTAATTTCTTTTTAAAATGTATTTTCATTATTTTTACTAGTATAGTATGTTTGTACTACATCATGGGGAGTTGGTACATGTACATAACATATCTTAGGTCTTATATCTGAACCTCTTGTGTTTTTGTCTGCCCTTTAAAACTTACTTCTTTCTAAATTGTGAGTCCAGAAATGTAAACTCTGTCTACCATACTGAATGGACTCAAATTCAATAAGCACATTTTTTATCACTAGTGTGTCTTATAAACAGATATTATGACATGTAGTATGTCATTTAATTCTTGTAACAGCTGTGTGAGGCAAATAGTCTGGTTTCCATTTTATAGATGATGAAGCAAGGACTCAGGAATGTTAAGGCCTTCTCCAAAGTCATAAAATTAAAGAGAAGGGCCAGGATTTGAACCTAAATGTAGTATTTTGAGGGGGAGGTCCTCTACCGTTCCTTAATAACACGATTTGTTCTTTGTTGGCCACTCTAAAATCTGTGAACTTATCCCAAGTGTTAATAAAGAATTGCAGAAGTGCAGATAGTTGGTTGACAGTCCACTTTCTTTTCATGAATTAGTGGACAAGCCCTCTTCTCTCCCCTGCCTTTCCCACCTTCCCCACACCTTTGAGTCCTTTTAGTGGACCTTTAAATTCTGGAGCCCCTGAGGGAGAGAGTCCTGACCAACAGGGTGCAATCTCAGCCCAGTGGGCTGCAGTATTACTGATACAAAAGTATTTAAGTCAGTATAGCAAAATCCAAAGCAATTGAAACAGATACCGGTCACACAAATTTTATTTAGCAGTATTGGTGTTTCTCAGCTGACTGTCCCATACCTTGAAGAATAGAGCTCTCACTTCCTCCTTCTCATATTACTCATTATGGAGAATAAGTGATCTTAACTAACAGAGATGTGGTGTGCCTCAGATACTCCACCCCTTTCATTCTGTTTGGTTGTATTTATTGGAACAAACC